GTGGAGAAGCTCTGGGATCAGAAAGAAGTTATTGCTAGAAGCCCCTATGTGGATCTACTGCCAAGAGCTTCACAGGGGGTGGACATCTTACAATCCTACAAGGACTGATGCCACCAAAGCATCTTAGACAACACTGGGGATGTGGAGGCTGGGGGACCCCGTTTTGATGGAGGAGATCCTAAATTGACCACGATTAAGCTCATGGGTAGGGTGCTTAAAATAGAAATTATGTTCAATTATGGAAAATTTTTAAAAAGTAATACTTTTGCATACCTGGAATTGTGGCTTGAGAGTTGTGTTGTTTTATTTTGATCATATCACCTCATACCTTTAGGACACAATTTCCACATTTGTGAACTAGGACTGGGGAGAAGAGGTTGTACAAAGTAGTACCAAAAGCTTTACTAGCTCAGATTGACTGTGATGCTAAAGGTGCAGTGGCTCTTAGATGTCTCACTGCCCACCTTGAATGCTTTCTGTCTCTGTTACTGTCTTTGCAGGACCTTCTCCCAGGTTCCATCGAGGCTACTGAAGATCACCAAGACAGACCAGGGTGACAGGGAACAAGGGGGCATTCCCAGCCCCTGCAGATATCAGATCTTTTTACCACCAGTTCAGACCATATTTTATTATTTTTAAAGTGATTTGTTGAATAAATATGCCAACAACTCTCAGTAGATATGAAAACAGAAAGGAAAAATATATCTATCATCATGCCATCTTGACAAATAAAAGCATTTTGCCTTTCTGCTTTCTCTTCCAATCCATGCCTGCATAAGTATTAATACTTGTTTTGCACCAGAGCATGGAGACTGCATTGTATCAAAGGGATTTTGGGAGACCAGAGGATGGAAAAGGAAAATCTGGAAAGTTTAGCTCTCCTGATTGACTGCCCTGGCAACAGACCAAATGACTCCAGAAATAACTCTCCAGCTCTGACCTCTCTCCTGAACTTCAGATGCATCTGTCCGTGTGCCTACTTAACAGCTCCACTTTGATGACGAACCAACATTATATTTAACATGTTTAAAATGGAACTGTTAATTCAGTTCTATTTCACCACCAAACCCATCCCTCCACCTGTCTTCATCATCTCATCCATTGCTCAACCTTGTCATGAATCCATCCCCAGTCCTCCCTCTCCATTGCCTTTCCTATTCAGTCCTCAAGCAAGTCCTGTCACTTCCAATTTTAGGCTCACTTCCCATTAGTCAATTTCTCTCCATCTCTGCTGGCACCACCTAGCTCAGACCACCACATTGCCTCTGGATTTACTGCAATAACCTCACATTTGAATTTTCTGATTATTTGTTTTCCCCTTGTCTACTTGCTCCACAGAAGTCATGGTGATTTCTTAACATGTAAATATTGTACTTTGCTTGGTGTAATTTGCAATCTGGGCAGTGAGACATCTGAGCGTCTCTACCTCTGCAATGTCATCCCATTGTTTACATAAAATCTCAAAGTCTCCACTGTGACCAGTATCCCTGTGTAATCTGGCTCCTGCCCATACCTCCAGCACTGTCCCATGTCCCATTGCCCACACTCTCCAGCTTCACTGTTTCCCTACCACTTCCTGAACATTCTATGCTCCTTCATACCTTAAAGTTTGGCATAATAGGTTCCCTCCAACAAGAAGGTATTTCCCAGGCTCTTTGAAACTTCCAGATATCAGCTCAAACGTTCTCTTTTCAGAAAGGCTGCTAGCTTACCATTCTGTCTAGCTAGCAGCACTTAATTATTAACTCTGTGAAGATCTCTATCATTGCAATCCCCATTATTTTGTGCACTCTTTTATTTTCTTCATAGCACTCATCACATTTGAAATTCTTTCTTTCTCCCTTGCTCCCTCCCTCGCTCCCCTGTATCACTCCCACCCTTCTTTCCTTTCTATCTGTCCTCATCAGACTGTACCCTCACCACAAGGGTGAGGAACACTTTTACCAATGCTTACTAATGTTTGCTCAGTGTCCATACAATGCTTGAAATATAGTGTGTGCTCAGGAATATGTGTGGAATAAACAAAGGCCTACCCTTCTTTGCAATGAACAAATATTCATCTGGAAACTCTGAGCTGGGCTTGCTTAGGACATGGGTGGTTTCCTTAAAGGGATAAGAAATCTTTATGTTCAAGCTGGGATTTTTCTGGCAGGTTCATTTTTCCTCTGGCTTCAAAGTATGCAACACCTGGGACATTCTCTGTGTCCTTCTTGAAGTGTGATTTGGGGACATCCTCTATGTCCTTTTTGAAGCATGATTTGGGGAATGAGGAACTAGCTAAAGTTTTTGAGAAAATGTTATATATATCACACACACACACACATATACACACACACATTTTTGAGACAGGGTCTTGCTTTGTTGCCCAGGCTGGAGTGCAATGTTGCCATCACAACTCACTCTAGCCTCTTCCTTTCAGGCTCAAGTGATTCTCACACTTCAGCCTCCTGAGTAGTTACCAGGTGTGTGTTACCACACGCAGCTAATTTAATTTTTTTTTTTTTTTGGAGAGACCAAGTCTCACTGCGTTGCCCAGGCAAAATACACCCAGGTCTTGAATTCTTGTTATCAAGTGGTCTTCCCGCCTTGTCCCTCCAAAGTGTTGGGGTTACATGTGTGAGTCACTGAAACTCCAAGAAAATGTTTTAAAAGGCCATTTTGAGCAAGACCTGAGAGGAGGCTGTTGGAGTGATCCAGGTAAGTACTGACAAGGGTCTAGGTGACCATACAGATGAACAGGAGGGGACAGGATTAATGGGACTTGGAAACTTAGGGCACCTAGGGCACAAACTGTAGACGCAAGATGTATTGGTCCATTCTTATGCTGCTAATAAAGACAACCTGAGACTGTGTAATTTATAAAGGAAAGAGGTTTAATTGACTTACAGTTCAGCATGGCTGGGAAGGCCTCAGGAAACTTACAGTCATGGCAGAAGAGAAAGCAAACATGTACTTCTTCACATGACAGCCACAAGAAGTACACAGTGAAGGTGGGGGGAAGCCCCTTATAAAACCATCAGATCTCTTGAGAATTCACTCACTATCATGAGAATAGCATGGAGGTAACTTCCCCCATGATTCAATTCCTCCTACCAGATCCCTCCCATGATACATGGGGATTTTGGCAACTACAATTCAAGATGAGATTTGGGTGGGGATACAGCCAGACCATATCACAAAGTGTTATACATGCTGACACTGCCCTTGCTCAGGCCTCAGAATGAGTGTCTTACTTTTTGTTTCCTAGGAACTTTGCCTCATCCTAGTCCTGGTCCTGCTTCAAGGGGGAGGTAAATTATAATTCTTGCTTCATGATACCCCTCATCATTGAAGACAGCCAAGATATCCTCAAGGTTCTCAACACTGGAGCCCAGGAATGGGAATATTGAAGCTGAAGCAGCTCTATTGTAAGTAGAAAATTTTGAAAAGGAGATGCATATCTGAGGGGGAATATCTCTGTTTCTGTGACTACAAAGGTTCAAAGTCACAATAAAACTAACAGAGCAGGATGTTTATCTCCTCTGGGCATACTTACCCTTTTACAAAAAGCCTTTTCTGTAAAAGACTTTCCTGGACTACACCATCTTCCCAAGTCTTCACAGGGCCATTTTGGTGCTTATATGATGAACCCTTGATCTACTCCAGGACCACATTTCAAACCTGGGAAAGGGCACACATATGTTCTTCCTTCCCATCACCACCCATAGGCACCAAGTGGACTTTACTGTAGAACAGTCTGGCTGACAGGCCAGGAAGCAATGGATTGAGGATGGGTGAAGATCACCTTATCTGTGTCTAGAATGCTGGGCCATGTGGCTTCTTGGAAAGCAATGACAAGAGTTGGGTTTGAATCTGGATTTCTTGGTTCTACCACTCATTATCTAAGTGACACTGGTCAGGTCCCCTCACCTGCAAAATGGAGCATGGCACCCACCTTGTAAAACCGGTATGAGGCTGAAATGAGATACAACTGCACTTGAAGTCCCAGGCCCGTGGTGGCACCCAGTAACTGTTTTTCTTCCTTATATGGAACTGTAGAATGTCACAATAGGAAGGGAACTTGGGGTTCTCTAGATAATTACCCTCCATTTATTTTTTTCCTTTGAATCTTAAGTACACAGAATTGTATCTATCATAATTCATACTGTATGATACTATCATTATTGACAATGCATGACCCTTTTTATTAATTTGTTTACCTACCTCTTCATCTATACAACTGTCCATTGGTCATTTGTCCACCCATCTCTCTGCCCATCCATCCATCCATCCATCTTGTCCATCCATTCATCCATCCTCCCTCACTCCCTCTGTCCCTTCCAATCAACCATGCATCTATCTATCTACTTGCATACTTATATCAATTTTATATTGTTAATCTGTCAATTTAAAAAAATCTTAATATAAACATTTGTGAAGCCACCATCCATTATGGAAGTTGGAACCTTCACGATAACTTCCACCTACCTTTATGTACTCCAATTTCTTATCCTTCTGTCCCCCTACATCCAAGGTCACTGCTATTTTTAATCTTGTGTTCCTTGTTCCTTTTAAAAATATATGGGTTTCATTATATTTCTGTGTATTTCTAAAAACTAATGTTAGCTGTTTTTAGCTTTATTAAAAGACTATCATTTTGCATGAAACCTCTGGGGCTTATTTGCCCCTATCAATATTGTATTACTAAAATTTATCCATGTTGCTATGTGCAGCTGTGGTTAATTAGTTTTGCTTTCTATAGAATATCCCATTCTGTGAATGTGCTAAGTTTATCACACATCATACTGTAGATGGGCATGTGGATTGTTCTCAGGTTTTGCTAATTTTAAACAATGCCTCCATGTACATATTAGTACATATCTCCTGGTGCACATGTGCAAATTTCCTTTGGGTGTAACCCAAGAATGGAAGTGCCAATTATAGGGTATGTGAATGTTTAACACAACAAAATTTTCCAATGCGTTTCCCAAAACAGTTGTGTCCATTTATGTGCCCACTAGTAATGCAAAAAAGATCCAGTGACTTCTTTATTTTTGGTATTTGAACAGGGACAAGATGACATCTCAGTGTGGTTTTGCCATAGCTTTTCCTGATTACTAATGAGGTTGGCCATTTCTTCACATGTTTATTGGCCATAAGTGTTTCATTGAACTCAATTTTAATGATGGAGCTGTAGAGGTTTCATGGCAGAGCTTGGGTGCCCACAAGGGGCTTTCCTTGATGAGCCAGGAAGGAGCCATGAGAAATGCAGGTATCTATTTTTCTCAGGGTTGGAGCCTGTCCTGCCTCTGCTGGGTTTCTTGGTCAGCATCATGGACTCTGAGGTCAGACTTTCAACAGAAAATTCATTCCTGGGTAGGGCATGAGAATCTGCCTCTTACTGTTGACCTTTCCAATCTAGGTGCTCCCTTCCTCTGGGGGCTGCAGGAGATAGCGAGGGATGGCCAGTGCTGTTCAGGTCTCAGAAGGCTGATGAGGCAAGAGAAACTGGGGAAGCAGCTACAGGCATCATGGCAGGTCCTCCTCTGAGGCCAGTCCTTCTGAATAAGACAGGAGGGACTAAGGGTCCTATGTCACTGTGGAGGACTGTCTTTGCAGAGTCTGTGACCTGTAGAGGAAGGAGGGGCTGAGGCACAGCCCATGATTTTCTCATACCTCTCCTTAGAGTCTACCTCAAGGGTGTTGTCTTCATATCAATTCTCTCTGTTTCTTCCTCCCTAAGTGCCCTCTCTCCTTCCTTGACCAGGGAACCTGCCTCTTTGCACATCCTCAGGCTGACTGTGCGAGAGACAAAGGAAGGTCAAGGGGATAGTGGTGCAATTCTCAGGGACCCTCTGGATCAACACCCATTCAAGGTACAGGAGAAATGGGAGGGCCCCACAGCCTTCTTCTCACAGTGCCCCTGTCAGCTGGAGTCCGACCTTTGGGAGCCTAATCCCATCTGGGGTCCCCCCTTACCTGGAAGAAAGTCTCCTCCTAAAGACATAGATGGCAGAAAGTTCCAGCCAAGGAGCAGGAGGGAGTTGCACACAGGGGTACCTGGCGACAGAACAATGTCAGGATGAGGTTGGATCCTGTTTCCATTAGACCCCCAAGCAGGCTCAGCCCCACCTCTAACTCAGGTCGCAAGACTATACCCTCGTCTTGAGGAGAGTCACCTTACCTATATAAGCCTCAGTTTCCTTCATCTGTAAAGTGGGAATTATAACACGCATTTCAGAATGTTTTTGTATCAAATGGGAGCACCCAAACAAAGTGCCTAATAGGTGCTTAGCAATTGTTGAATCTGAATGGCTTTTGGAGGATGGGTGGGAACTGGGGAAAGATATTTCATATTACCTTAGTTATTTAAAGGAGCATTTGGTAAAACGAGTGGGTGGTCAGGATTCAGCTGATGAAAGCAGCACTTATTGCAGTTTGGTACTGGAGACACAATGCTCTAAAGAGGATGCCATAATTGTTGTCCCATGTTATAGATGATTCAGAAAGAGATGAAGTGACTTTTCCGGTGTCACACATGGTGAGCACAGCAAAGCCTGCATTTGAACCCGGCCTGTCTATCTCTAAGTCTGAGCCTTTACTTGCTTGGTTATTCTGGTCCTACTCTCCCAGACTCCATTGCTCTTCTTTGGGTCTGCTCAGCTGCCTGCTAGCCTGGACCAGAGCCTGGTTATTCTGCCACGCTTGGCAGGTGAACTGTTTTTTATCTTTCCACTCTGAAGTGTTGACCAGGATATGATTGTCTTGGCTGAATGTGCCATCTGGGTTCTTGGTGGGGCCAAGGGCCTCACAGGTCTTGAAGTATCCATTTGTCTTTAGCCAGGCAATGCCTTTGGGGTAAAACCTTTGCACATGGCGGGTGAGAATGGCAGCCTGGAGTCCTAGGAGGTGGTATGCAGAGATATTCACTGTGGGCACAACTGAAACAATAGCACTGCCTTTGTTAGTTTCTTCCTTTATGCAAAGCATGCCCAAGGGGTGTCCACACCTTTCTGGGCAGTGTGATGGGTTCTTGGAATACAGCATGAACCAAGACAGACATGTTCCCTGCCTTGCCTTATGGAACTCCCACTCTGGTGAGGAGGACAGGAAGGAAACAAAGCAGTCACATGACCCCTAGGAGAGTTCCAAGAGCCTACAATAGGGGCACTTGACCTGGTCTGCCGGAAGGCAGGTTAGGAAAGGGTCTCCAGAGGAAGTAACCTTTGAGTGGAAATTTTTGAGTGGAAATATGAAAGACGAGTAAGAGTTAACTCTATGTGGCAGACTGCATTTTCTAAAAATGATGGCAGCATACCCCACATGCTCTTCCAGAACTCTGCTACTCTGCATTGGAGGAGGAGTCTATTTCTGCTCCCCTGGACTTTGTGACTGCTTTAATGAATAGAATTCAGTAGGGACAACACTGTATGACTTCTGTGGCTGGGTCATAAAAGCTGGTATGGCTTCTACCTAGCTCTTTCTTGGGACACACCCTTGGGACACAACCACAAGCTATAACTAGCCTATGTGGAAATGTTGGGGAAGCAGGAGCCTAGGAGAGCCAGACTAATGCTACTTTAAGTTCAACTCCATCTTGGAACCAACAAGGCACATTCCTTGCTGGTCACCACCCACAGTTACAGGATATTTACAATTGAAGAAAAAGCCTAAAGATTCCTACAAAGACACATTTCTACAACAGTGGAAAGTCCACATGTCCCAATACCTATAACAATATATGTTTTCAATATCATTATAGTTATTCTTTGATGTACTCACACTCTAGAATGTCAAGGATAGTTTTCTTTAAATCAATAGAACAATACATTTTGTCATGTTGTCTGCTCACGTGCATGTAGACACAGCTTAGCTTAGCTTTTACATGGACAAGACGTCTTTATAAGAAAAACTTAAAACAAAGATGAGGCATTCCTCTGCTTGCTTTCTGAGGACACCCCGCCCTGTAAGTGAGTAGTTTTCAATAAACTATCTCTTCTCACTGTACTCTGTGACTTACCTTTAACTTCTTCCTGTATCAGATCCAACAACCCCCTCTTGGAACCTGAATAGGGACTCTTTTTCTGGCAGCAGAAAGATAATAAGGAAAAGCCCATGCCAAGAAGAACCAAGGCCCCAAGCCAACAGCCAGCACTAATGGTCAGGCATGTTAGTGAAGGAGTCTTCAGGTGATTCCAGCCTCTGAATTGTCCAGCTGAGGCTTAACCATCATGGAACAGAGCAAGCTGTCTTTGCCCAGCCCTGCTGGAATTCCTGACCCACAGCATCTAAAAGCGTAATCATTTAAGGGAATATGGTGTAAATTTGGAATGCTGGAATAAATTTGGGGATAATTTGTTATATACCCCTAACAATTGTGAAATATTAGGCAAAAGGGGCAGGAGGAAGGGGGTGCTGGGAGAGGGTGAGGGTGGGGATGGCATCTCAGCAGATGGATGGACCTGGGCAGAGGCCCTGAGTTTCCATGGACTTTAGAAAGAAGAGCAAAGTGAATGAGAGAGAGGATGGGTGAGTGAGGCTGAATTCATAGCCAATCTGGAGGCTGGCTATACTTACAGGTGCCCTGGGGGCACTTAAAGACATTCTAAGGCCTACGAACATTATTTTAATACAATTAATTTCCAGATCCTGAACCCTCATAAAACTGTTTACTTATATTGATCTGCCTGAGAATGAGCATCAGGGCCACTTTCTTTTCTTACCTCCGGTTTCTCAATTTTCCTTCTCCCATATCACAAAAGAAAGGCCTTCCTCCCACACTTCCTGAATCTAGCTATGGGGCATTGTCCTTAGTGTAAAGACTTTGGGATGCAAAATACTTTACATTGCAAATACTGCTGGCCAGGAAGCCTGCTTTAACCAAAGCACCATCAACTCCCCCATCTACCTCGCCAAACTGCAATTCCAATACCATGTTAAAGGCTATTTTAATAATTACTTATCAAAAATTTTTATACATTTAGATTGTTTGGATCAATTGTGTAATTCAATCCAAAAGAATGTTTTTTGACACTGAGAGTCTTATGGTCATAAAAATTTTATTTTAAATTTCAATTTATAGATGTGGTTTTGCTTGAGTTCTGTGTTCTCATAGTTCTCTGTGATATGTATCTGTATGATTTTATAGTCAATAAAAGATTTTCCAATGTAAAATATGTTACATTAAGGTAAAATTCTTCATGGGAGTTAGAATGGAAATACAGCATTAGGAAGTAAAAGGAATGATATAAAATGCCTGATTATTAAAGAAGAGCTTCTTTATGTATGTTTAAATGGATGATGGTGGAAATTAAATTATGATTATGTTATTTTTTTCACTGAATATGTTTTGGAATGATGCAACATTTGTAATACTCCAGGAGTTATGCTCTGTGCAACTATTTAAGTTATAATGAAAAATCTTAGATGTCAACTTTAAAATATATGATAGACTACATGGTTTTTCACAATTATTTTAGGGAAATATGCACAAAAGTGCTTGAATATCACAGTTGAACATCCCAGTAAGATTTTTTTTTTCCCCCAAGAGAAGTGATGAGCTACTGTAGGGTTTTAAGCAAATGAGAGACATGATCTGGTTTCCTTTATAAAATCCCCTTGGCTGCTGGGAGTTTGGGGATGGACTGTAGAGGGCAATGGTGGATATTAGCGATCAATTCGGAGGCTCTTGCAATTGCTCAGGTAAGAGATGGATGTTGGCTTGAACTTAAGTATTAGTTTAAATAGTGGCAGTGGAAAGAAATGTATGAGTTCAGGAAATATTTGGGAGTGGTATCTGATAGAACTTGGTGATGGGTTGGGTGAGAACAGGCTTCTGGCTTAGATGACTTGGTTGATGGGGAATGTCTTCACTTATACGGGTAGGACAGAAGGAGCAGCAAGCTCTGAGAGGATTGAGGGAGCAGCACAACGCTCATCTCTGAGCTGACCATGACTGAACCACCACTCTTGGGAAAGGTGGGGTTGGGTATTGCCTTTCTCTGGTATCTCTGCATAGGTGGTTCTTACAGGAGGCAGCTCAGAGGTAGTTATCTGAAGAGGTTTAACACTGGATTCAAATTCCAGCATGCTTACTGAAGAACCCTGTGACCTTGGGCAAGTCACTTCACTTTTCTGGGCCTCAGTTTCCTCATCTGAATGAAGCAAGGACACACAGCTGCCTCTAGTTTCTCTGGGATGATTGATGTGGAGGCTAGAATTCACTTTCCAGGCTCGAGCTCTCTTGTGGTATCTTTTGGTTAAGCAAGACAGACTTCTATTTTGGGATGGAGGCGTTTGAGTAATGAGGAACTAGATTTTTGACAATGATACCATAAATTATCTCCCTTATGGGGTTGCTGTGGAGACTATGGTGCTATTAATGGGTCTCTTTGGTTTTCTCTGGCTGGAGCTGGAGAGAAGGAAAGATGGAGTTCTGGACCCCTGGAAGGAACTTCACCCATCTGCAGGAGGTAATTGAGACTACACTATGCTGAGGTTGGTGGGGGGCAAAGGACAGTACAGGCCCCTGGGGAAAGCCCCTTTGAAGGCAAAGGCAGATGGACTTGAAAAGCAGTGAGGATAATTTCCTTTGCCTTTCTTTCTATATTTCTGCAAAGTTGGATTCAACACAACAGCCTGGACTTGCTCTCGGGAAATAAACAATGGACTCTTTCCTTAAGAAGTAAGAGCCAGAAAGGGCATGTGTGTGTAGCCTGCCTTGCTGTTTCTCCTGTTGCTAGGTGAGTTTAAGAAGCGTGTTTCAAAGGTGGTGACTGGCGGCAAGGCAGTGGTGGCATGGTGGTTTGAAAAATGGTGTTGGGAGTTCCCACGGAGAGTTCGGGTGGGAGAAACTTCTTTGCTGTGAAGTCCTAAGTGATCAGGTCACTGCCCCTCTCTTGCCAGCCTCTTCCTTTTCCATGCACTCACCCTCTCACTAGGCCTCAGCCACACTGGCTTCGTCTTTGCTCCTCAGACATGTCTTGCTCCCCACGGCAGCACAGGGCCTTTGCATGCTCTGTTACCTGTGCCTTGAACACTCTGCACTTTGCTTGGCTGAC